GAGAAAAATCATGACTAAGGAACAATTACAAAAAGAGTTAAAAGAAAAAGTTAAAGAAGGAGTAAAACCGAGCCATCTTAAACGCTCCAAATCCTTAAATGATATTGCTACTAATCCCACGGAAACCACAGAAATCTTTGTGGATGCTCCCGAGGAGACTAATGAGGAATTAAAACAAAAGATTAACGAGTTAGAGGAGCAATTAGACCAAGCCAACGAAAGCCGCCTTAAAGCCCTCCAAGATTTTGATAAGCAGCAAGAAAGAATAAAGCAATTAGAGCAAGAATTAGAGTCTGCGGCTGAATATGGTTCTAATCAAATCACTAATTTAGAAAAAATTAATCGCGATTTAAAAAGAGAAAAGAATTTGCTAGCCGAACAGTTAAAGTTTGCCAAGCAAGATTTAGACAGTTATCAAAGAATAAATGAATTGCGGTTAGGAAAAAAAGAAGTAGCCGATGACTGACAAGAAAATTACGGACCCACTATTTCGCTTTTGGTTTTGGCGGTTCTATTTGCTTATTTGACAAGTAAAAATAAACACCACTAATATGAACGATTTACTATTTTACACCCTAATAATTGCCTTACTGGTTTATTTTTTGGTCTATTTGCCTAGGCAAAAGAAATTAGGGGCAGTTAAGACAGCCACAGCCGCAAGCACGCAAACTGATTTGAAGGATAAACAGATAACTAATCTTATTAATCAGTGAAATCAAGTAGCCAATTGAGCCACAGAAGAAGGCATTGATGTTAATAAGAAATGGAATTTAAATTTGTTGAAAACTAAACTAAACCAAAAGATTACTGATTTAGAACAGCAATTAGCCATTAAGGAACCCATCAAAGTTAAATATTCACGGGGAACGCAAACTAACTCCGACCCCGAAGATAAATCCACCGAGGAAACTTTGGCGGAACTCATTAAAAACATCCAAGATCTCAATAAGAAATTAGACTAATATGACCCTAAAACAACAATTAGAACTATTAAATAAAGAATTTACTACTTTAAAAACTAAACTTACTGCTAAACTCCAAACCCAGCAGCAAACCATTACCGATACTAACCAAAAATTGAATGAAAGCAACCGCAAATTAGAAACTTCCTTAAAAGAAAATACTGAAAATGAAAAGGTTTTAGAGAAGTTGATTAAGGAATTTAAGGAGTTAGGGGAAACACTAAACTAATATGTTGCGGGAAGAAGTAATGAAGGAATGGCAAGAGTTAAAAAGCAAGTTTTTTCAATTGTCTGGTTTTCGGAGTATGGTAATTAGACAATTATCTAATTGCATCCGTAATCCCGCAGATATAGAGAATTTATATGTTATAAAATGGCAGATAGGTGATGGACCCACTACTGAGGAGGTGGATTAAAGAAACAATTTGAAAACCATTCATAAACACTTACAAAAATGACAAGGAAAAACAGAAAAAAGAAAGTAAATGTCTCGGGCAGTTTCACCACTGCCGAAAACCTAGTAAGCACTTTTTTAAAAGTAACAGGACCGCGACAGAAAGCCAAAGAAAGCGGCAATTCTAAATTTGCTGGTGATGCCGGATATTGGCAAGGTGGCCGTTGTGAATGAGGAGGTTCACATAAACTAGATGAAGACGCCGAGGTGTTGGCTAATTTCTTTAACAGTATTGCTAACATTACTGATGATATTAATAACATTAAACTATCGGCTAACGAACAAATATTTAACAATAACAAGCAACAATTAATTGCTAAAATCCAAGGTCTTATTGGCAAATGTCGCATTACCTCTTCCACCTCCATCGGTAATATTTGTTGTATTTGAAATGACTTTTTTGGCAATTTCTTAAAAAAATTTTTAGATAATTTTTCGGTTAAACTTCAAAGGAACTTAACCGCTATTGAAAAACTGGAACCTAAACACCAAAAAGAACTTTTAGATTTAGAAAAAGAGGCTCGGGAAGCCGAAAGTGCTTATAAAGAAAACTTACAAAAGGCCGATAATGAGACTGACCCTGATAAGAAAGCAGAATTTATTGTTTTAGCCAATAAAGCCGCCAAGAAGGCCGAAGAAATTAAGCGAAAAGTTAAAAATAATCCTATCGCTCAATTGGCTAATTTTAATTATTTAGATGATTTAAGAGCATTAACACAAGGTAATGTCCCACCTAATGTTTGTCCCGACGGACAACCAGGCGGAAGTGGCTCAAACAGCAATAACAATAATAGCGGAGGAAATGGAAG